ATTTCATGTAATTTATTTTTACTAAACTGTTTGGCTTGTCCTTCAATAATCGAGTTTTATTTTCTCTACGTTATTTTATTTTACGTTTTATTGTGTTGCATGAAAAACTTAGCATTTATTTTATTTTGTTTGAGGATTATATTCTGCCTAGCAACACAGTGCGATTTTAGTCTCGACTTTGAATGTCCTCTACTCAGCGCTTCGCGCGGGACAAGATGGCTGACGCTCTCGTTCGGTCTGGCGTCTTTGTCGCACATTTTTGGTAATTTTTTTTCCAAACAGATTTTTACCAAGTTTCGTTTTCTACTTTCAATTAATAAATTTACATGAACAATTTTCTTGCAATTTTGACTGATTCTAAATTTATTGCAAATGATTTTATTTACACAATTAAATTTTTGTTATAAATTATTTTTCCGAATTTAATAAATTTTACTTCAAATGATTTTACTAAAATTCCTCTGAAATATTTTAATGAATTTACTTTAAGCAATTAATTAAATAAATTTCCAAACTCGATTATTAACGACAATTAATTTTACATGGCACCAAAGTTATAAATTGACCAACCGAAATTATTCCTGGTAAAACCAATTCAAGCTCTGCCTACGTAGTAAATTAACAATCCGAAATAATTCCTGGTTTTGTTAATTAATTATTTAGTAATTATTCTTGATTTGCTTTTAATTTTAGTCTAATTTTTATTCTGGACTTTTCTCTCAAATAAATTCTTAAATAAACTCTGCCTCTTATTTCCAATAAATTCTCAAACATTTTCTAAATAATATTTTAAGTATCCCAAATAATATACCGAGTAAATTCTAATAAATAAATTTCCACATAATAATTAAGTAAATTCTACGACACAATACTTAAACTAATGATTGTGACCGAACGCGAAATGGCGGTGACCTTTAGCCGACTTCAATGCCTGGCTGATGCCGCACCACCGAGGGATTATTGAGACATTTTATTTGTACCTGGGGCTTTTCTCTTTGAGACGCTGGCGAGCTCCCTCGAAGAGCAGCAACTCCTTCACGTCTGTTCTGGTACAAATTCCTCCTCAGTGGAAAAACTCTGCTTGGCCGCGAGACCTCGGTCACCGTCACTCGTTTCTCTGAATATTTTATGAGTCTGTTTGATGATGTTTTTACTTAATTTGTGTGTCCACGCGGTTTGGCGACTCGGTCACAATGACTTTTCTCAGCTTTGTCGGTGCGTTTCTTTCTTCGCTCCGTCTTCCCCACTCACTCTCCGCGCCGGCGCTTCCCTCTTGGGGACTTACTCACTAACTTACAACTAGAGGCGCGAGTACTTCGGAGCACAGCGCTCTGGGGAATCAGTCGATAACTAACTCACGGATCGGAAACCTTCTCTGGGTAAAGAAGGCCCCGTGTACTCCGTTACAGGGTATGCTTTTATTGGTAGATTACTGATTACAATCTATGTTAATTTAGTTATTGATATAAATAAGAAATATTGTATCATTTTTGAGCTGTCGTAGAGAATTTTGATTAGCTTATTGATGAGAATTAAATTGCATTACAGATGCATCTGTAAATGCTATTAAGACGTAATAACGTTCAAAAAGTTTTATACTGACAAAAAAAATTTTTCTACAAAATTTTTGTCAATATTGTACTTTTAGATCATTATTACATCGACTCCGTGAAAAACAAATTTTTTATAGATCCTTATGGTATCTCTAAAATAATAATTAATTGAATTTTTTTCATTTTAGATAATTGCAGGGATTTTTCTGATCCACGAACTACTCGACCAATGTGGTACAAGTTATGAAATAGCTTCATTATTTGGAATGATATTTGGAACAGTGTCAGCTATAATTAAGATATCTCTGTTGAATTTAAACCATAAAAATATATTATTTATTGTTAAAAATGTTATTAATGATTGGCAGACAATCAAAGACAATGAGTCTAGAAAGATTATGCGACAATATTCATCATTGAATAGTATCTTATTTTATGGAATCTTGACGCCGTTGATGTTGTACACAACAAAGTTTATTATAGAAAGTATTCCTCATACTGTTATAACAAATGATAATACAACTGTTTATGTACGCACTACGCCCATGAGTTCAGATTGCTGGAATTTAGCAGATATACCAATCATAATTTATTTGATTCGTTTCGTGTGTCGTACTTTCGAATTTGTAATTTATAATATTGTCAGCTGTGGTATTGATTTATATTTTCTTGTTTTGGCATCACATATTTCCGGCCAAGTGAAGATTAGCAACATGAAAATTGAAAATTTCTTAGTTGACAATAACAAAGTTTTTGAACGTAATAATTTTTATAAAATTATTTATCGTCAAAAGTATTTATTAATATTGATGGATAAATTACGCGAATCTTTCAATTATATAACACTGGCAGTACTGATCATAAGTGGAATTCATTTGAACATAATGAGTAAGTCTTTATTTAAAAAGTATCATTATACACGGAAAGAAAATTATAGGGAATATTCCAATAATTGGTGGGAATGATTCCCATAATGGTTACAGAAATTATTCCTAGAGAATTATAGGAATGGTTCCAATAATGGTGTGGAAATAGTTCCCATAATGATATAAGTACGGTTCCCAGGTCATTATGGGAAACATCCCTATGGTATTATGGAAATCCCTTGTGGAAATGGTCACGGAAAAAAAAGTCGAAAAAATTATATTAAAGAGTAAATTAGACTATTAAAAGAGTTATCTTTAGTTTAAAATTCTAAGAAAGTCTAAGAAAGTCTAAAAAAGTCTTTTAAACTCTATATAGGTCGTTTTTTTTCTGCGAATTGGCAGAAATTTGAAAGACTTAAAAAGACTTTTAAAGACTACGTAAAAAAATTTTTGCAAGCAATAAGAAGTGGTTTTTTTTTTTTTTTTCTAATTTTTTAGAGTAGAAAAACAATTAAAAAAAATTACAAGACTAATTTTAAGTAGAACAATTATAGAAAGAGTAGCACATAGGTTTTTTTCCTTTTTATATTAGCAAGATTATAATTAAAATTTCAAAAAATGCTGCTATATAAATTTTATGACACAAGTAGAAAATTAAAAACATTTAGGAATTATGAAAATTATTTGCCTTTATTTCTATCAAAATTACAAGGTTTTATTTGTAATAGAATATATTACCCAGTTTAAAAATAAAATTATAGATATGGAGTACAAAATGTTGAATATATAATTAAATTTAAATTTTCAAAAATATCAATTGTTTTTAATGCGCAACTCTGCGTCGTATTTTTTGATACTTTGTGCGAGCAGCAGTAATTGCGCCCCCCAAGTAGCTTGATAAACGTGCCTTTTCATGGTTCAATTTTTCTTTACTATAATTTTTGTCTTGTAAAAATGCATTGTAATGACGGGCTAACAGCTCTCGCTTACGAGGTGTTAGTTCTTTTTTATTACCAGTACTTGATGATTGTTTAACTACCCTAGTCGACAAAGTTTCAATTCCCCAAATTGCGTGTGACATTTGAGTGATGAAAGTTTGATTGCAATTTGAAGTAGTTGCTGCTAAGTGTACAGCACTAGGAATGTAAATATCATCACCAATATGGAATTGATCATTATTTAAATAATCCTCGTTTGCAAGAGCCCGATTATTTCTGGACTGATGGGGCTGTGGCTGTTGACTCGGACTGTCACGTTTATTTAGTTGAGCTTGGTAAGCAGCTTCTGCCAGTAGTGCACGTTGTTTCCATTTTTTTATTTCCAATTGCTGTTGCTTGCATCGTTCTACCAAATTTAAGTACGCTCCACTTTGAGTTTTTTGACTTGTCTAAAAACAATTATGCAAAAAAAAATGTATAATGATGTTTCAATAAGACGATTAATAATAGTGAAAACTTAATTTTAATGATAACGAATATAAAATATAATTAAATCTCAAAGACAGTTAAATTTTTTTTTTCCTACACTATTGCCGTAATTTTTTTATAAAAAGTAAAATTGATCAAAAATTGACATGCATTTTAAAGGGGAGCACCACTGTGACGATCGAAAAAAAGAGGTAATTTTTGAGAATTTTTTTGACAGGAAAAATAAAGAAATTTGGGGATCGTATTTTTTTAATTTTATTAAGGGTACATGAGAGATTATTATCCTAAATTTTTATTAAAAAATATTTAATTATTACAAAGTTATTAACAATCTCGTAGAGCACTAGAAAAAATGTCCCCCTCCATGGTCGGTTCGATAACTAAAAAATGGATCATCTGAAAATAAAAACCCAAATTGCTTTTTAATCTCCAAGGATGTAGTTATCGTCGCACGTACGGAATTTTGAAAATTTTAATTTTAAAGATGTTTTTAGTCGCGTTGAAACAAAAAAAAAAAAAAAAACAGTAAGAATAGAAAGAAAATTTTCAATCAGTCACCATTTTTTTTTAAATTAATTTTTTCAAAATTTCGTACGTGCGACGATAACTAAATCTTTACTGATAAAAAAGCAGTTTGGGTTTTTATTTTCAGATGATCCATTTTTTAGTTATCGAACCGACCATGGAGGGGGAAATTTTTTCTAGTGGCTCTACGAGATTGTTAATAACTTTGTAATAATTAAATATTTTTTAATAAAAATTTAGGATAATAATCTCTAATGTATCCTTAATAAAATTAAAAAAATACGATCCCCAAATTTCTTTATTTTTCCTGTCAAAAAAATTCTCAAAAATTACCTCTTTTTTTCGATCGTCACAGTGGTGCTCCCCTTTAAAATGCATGTCAATTTTTGATCAATTTTACTTTTTATAAAAAAATTACGGCAATAGTGTAGGAAAAAAAAAATTTAACTGTCTTTGAGATTTAATTATATTTTATATTCGTTATCATTAAAATTAAGTTTTCACTATTATTAATCGTCTTATTGAAACATCATTATACATTTTTTTTTGCATAATTGTTTTTAGACAAGTCAAAAAACTCAAAGTGGAGCGTACTTAAATTTGGTAGAACGATGCAAGCAACAGCAATTGGAAATAAAAAAATGGAAACAACGTGCACTACTGGCAGAAGCTGCTTACCAAGCTCAACTAAATAAACGTGACAGTCCGAGTCAACAGCCACAGCCCCATCAGTCCAGAAATAATCGGGCTCTTGCAAACGAGGATTATTTAAATAATGATCAATTCCATATTGGTGATGATATTTACATTCCTAGTGCTGTACACTTAGCAGCAACTACTTCAAATTGCAATCAAACTTTCATCACTCAAATGTCACACGCAATTTGGGGAATTGAAACTTTGTCGACTAGGGTAGTTAAACAATCATCAAGTACTGGTAATAAAAAAGAACTAACACCTCGTAAGCGAGAGCTGTTAGCCCGTCATTACAATGCATTTTTACAAGACAAAAATTATAGTAAAGAAAAATTAAACCATGAAAAGGCACGTTTATCAAGCTACTTGGGGGGCGCAATTACTGCTGCTCGCACAAAGTATCAAAAAATACGACGCAGAGTTGCGCATTAAAAACAATTGATATTTTTGAAAATTTAAATTTAATTATATATTCAACATTTTGTACTCCATATCTATAATTTTATTTTTAAACTGGGTAATATATTCTATTACAAATAAAACCTTGTAATTTTGATAGAAATAAAGGCAAATAATTTTCATAATTCCTAAATGTTTTTAATTTTCTACTTGTGTCATAAAATTTATATAGCAGCATTTTTTGAAATTTTAATTATAATCTTGCTAATATAAAAAGGAAAAAAACCTATGTGCTACTCTTTCTATAATTGTTCTACTTAAAATTAGTCTTGTAATTTTTTTT